ATCCAGTTAATTTCTGTATGTTGACCTTGTATCCTGCCACTTTGTGAATCTCTCTCATTGTTCCAGTAATTTTTTGGCTGAGTCTCTTGGGTTTTCTATGTATAGGATCATGTCATCCACAAATAGAGATAGCTTTACTTCCTCTTTGCCAACTTGGATGCATTTTATTTCTCTTTCTTGCCTCATTGCCCTGGCTAGGACTTCCAAAACAATGTTAAATAGAAGTGGTGATAGAGGGCATCCTTGTCTGGTTCCTGTTCACAAAGCGAGTCCCTTGAGTCTTTCTCCATTAACGATAATGTTGGCTATTGGCTTTGCATATATGCCCTTTATTATATTGAGGAATTTCCCTTCTATCCCTATTTTGCTAACAATTCTGAACAGGAACGGGTGTTGGATTTTATCGAATGACTTTTCTGCATCAATTGAGATGATTGTATAGTTCTGTTTTGTTTATGCAGTGGATTACATTGGTTGCATTTCTGATGTTGAACCATCCTTACATACCAGATATGAATCCCACTTGGTCAGGATGTATTGTGTTTTTGATACGTTGTTGGGGTCCGTTGGCTAGAATTTTGTTGAAGATTGTTGGGTGTATATTCAGGAAGGGTATTTGGTCTGTAGTTTTCCTTTTTCGTGATGCCTTTCTGTGGTTTGGGTATAAGTGTTACGCTTGTTTTATACAATGAATTTGGGAGTATTCCATTTTTTTTTAATGTTCTAGAATAGTTTGAGTAGTATATGTATCAACTCTTCCCTGAATGTTTGTTAAAATTCTCCAGTGAAACCATCTAGGCCAAGACATTTTCTTGTGGGAAGTTTTTTTATTATTATTATCTGCTCAATTTCTTCTTTTGTTATGAGTCTGTTCAAGTATTCTATCTCTAACTGGGATAGTTTAGGTAGGTCTTGTGTTTCTAGAAACTTGTCCATCTCTTCTAAGTTTTTTAATCTGTTGGAGTATGGTTCTTCATAATATTCTGTCAATATCTGTTTTATTTCAGTTGGTTCTATTGTGATGTCACCATTTCATTTATTATTCATGTTATTTGAAGCTTCTCTATCTTTTCTTTTGTTAGATTTGCCAATGGTTTGTCATTTTGTTAATCTTTTGAGAAACCACCTTCTTCTCTTATTGTTTTTCTCTATTGTTTTTTTTATTTTCTGTTTTGTTCATTTCTGCTCTGATCTTTATTATTTCCTTACTTGTTGATACTATAGGTTTCTTTTGTTGCTCTTTTTCTAATTGTTGGAGTTGTTGAGTTAAAGTGTTGATTTTTTTTCTTTCCTCTTTTTTGATGTGTGCATTATTGTTATAAATTGACTTCTGAGTACTGCTTTTGCTGTGTTCCATAGGTTTTGGTAATATGTATCTTCATTGTTGTTTGTTTCTAGGAATTTTTTTATTTCACATTTTATTTCTTCTGTTTCCCAGTAGTTTTTGAGCAGTGTATTATTCAGTTTCCACATGCTTGGTATTTTTTCCTTGATCTTCCTATTACTGATTTCTAACTTTATAGCATTGTGGTCTTAGAAGATGCTTTGTAGTGTTTCAATGTTTTTGAATTTATTGAGGCTTGTTTTATGTCCTAACATA